TGGCATGATGCTAACACTTTGCCACAATGGGGCTGTCAGCCAAAAAACCCACACCTAGCCCCCAGGAGCTGCTGCAGCCAGGCAGAACCCAGGGGAACAGGGCAGAGATCAAGGCACCAGCCTACCCGGGCAGGGTGAGACCAGTGAGAAATAGCAAAGAGCAGAAGTGTGGCTGGGAGGAGAGGGTAGACAGGGGAGCCACTGAATAACACCTAGCTAGTGCAAATCCTCTCTGCTCCTATTTTACCTACGCCTGGCAGGAAGGAGACATCGGTGACTATCTCTGCAGGCACTTCCAGCTCCACAGCAGCTCCTGCCCGCCACCGAGACAGCTGTGCCTGAATGCTGCTTGTTTCTCAAGTCTGCACTGAAATTCCTCCTTCCCCCTCTGTGGTACTGTGGAGGTTGTGGTCTCTCCCCCATCCCAACCCCTTTCATTTTTTTGCTTTAACTTGTTTAGGATTGATGCTGTTCGGCTGCTTCCCCCAAAATAAAGAGTACAAGAGCTGCCACCTCCTCAAGGGCTTTGAAACCCTTTCTCCCACTCTGTCACTACCTGTTTAAGAAAAACCTCAAAGCTTGATTTCTTCCCTCAAATCACTTACTCTGAAAAAGAGCTCAATGTTTTTGGGAGCACAGATAAAAAACCACCAAGATAAAAGTCTGAAGCTTCTGAAGAGGTTAGACCTGGGCCTCTTCGCTGTTATCTAAGTAAGGGTACAGGCACACAAACGACTCGTTGCAGAGATATAGTGGAGTACAAATTTGAAGTGACTCACACACTCTGAAATAACTGCCATATACTCACCTCAACCCCACAGCAAAACACAAGTTTATTTACCCATCAACATAAGATGAGAAGCACAAATCAGCATCTCAGTTTGCACAGCACCCCGGCAGTTTCACCACCTAAATTATTGCATATAAACCTCCTCTTCTGCCCATATTTCAAGAGTTATTAAGACAAGGGATAATTCTAATGACAATCTGGAAAATACTGCTGTCCTGCCAGTGGTAATGCCATGTTACTGGGATGCTTCTTTCCTTCACCTGCAAATTCCTTGCCATCCTTAACTTCTGCAAAAAGCAAAGGAGCAGCCCATGTACTTCTCACAGCCAGCAACAAGCAGGCCAGGACCCTGACACAATCGCCAGTCAGGTGTGCATGGTCCCCAGATTCTGCTTTTAATTGATCCGGTTTTGTAACTCCCCTCTTCAATATGCCCAAGTGCCTTCCCAATTTAATCACGAAGCCAAAATTTCCATCAGTCGCTTAGGAGCCCCATAGGGGAAGCTTCCAAAAGCAGCCAAGTCTTCGGCCACTACCGGAAGAATTCACTTCACTCAACACTAGCTGCATAACCCAAGTCTAACATCCAGGCTCTCTTTAGTCAATTTAGAAAAGGATACGCTTAATTTAAACAAAGGGGGGTTGCTATCCAGATTTGTTCCTTTCTGTCCTCTGACCGCAGATACTGCCTCAAAATCTACTCTAGGCAACACGCCTGGTGTTGGATGAGTGGGAGGCCAGTTGTGTGATCATGCAAAAACCTTCCCCCCCCACCACCCTGGGTAAAAGAGCATGAACTTGCCTCAGCAATTTTGCATCAGCCTCAGGGAACTGAACTCTGAAGGCAAACAATGGAGTTGCAGACTTTGTATGTGGGCTAATTCTTTCTCATAAATCAATCACAAGGCCATGGTTCCACAACATCAACAGCTGCACCCATATTTTTTTGCTGCCTCCCTCAGCACCTGCAACTCAGTCTGAGATGTCCTAAAATCTTCCTGCTATCACATCTCGCAGCCCAGGTATAACTCCTCCTTCTCACTGATGTAGCTCAGGAGGAGATGAGAAGAGAGGTAGCAAGATACAAAAAGACACACTTATTTTTGAAGCAACTGAAGACTGGTGAAAAACATTAAGCCTTGACACACATTTGCCCATGGCAGAAGGCCCCTGAACCACATTACTGGCCTCATTCCTAGCTTCAGTGAGATTACTGCTTGCGCTGCATGCCTAAATTCAGATCAGTGAATACAAGAGTCCCCACAAAGTGCCTGGGGAGCACTTCTTACTCCAGGCCATCAGAGACATCAGGTCCACAGAGTGGTATTAGATCCTGGCCAAGATCCCAGTGAATGAAAAGGAACCATAAATGGAGATACCAAAAATGGGAAAGGGACAACCATCCATGCTTACTGTTCCCGAGGTGGGTAGAAGTGTACTTTCAAGCCTGACCAGCATGTCTTTGAAGCTGACAAGACTATTTTTTAGGAGTTACAGAGCCTTGGATACATAGCCCTCAATGCTGCTCAGATGGCAGGAGCAAAGACACATCCCAGCTGCTCTGCTGCAAGCTGAGATGTCTCGGTACAGACAGCAGCCCCACGTGCTGCTGCACCAGTGTCCCATCCAGCTCCTCCAAAACTCCCAGCTCCCCCATCACAGGGCTGTATCGCCTGGGTGAAAAGGGGAGAAACTCTTCCTTTAGCTCTCACCTCAAACCACAAAGCACAACAACTCCAAGCTCCCAGAGCACAAGTCTAAAATCAACAGTGCTCCAAACCCATCCATTTCACACATAAACGGAGAGAATAGAGATGCTAACAAACCTGTCTCCCTCCAGGCTTTGCTGCTGCCAAAAAAGAGCCACGCAATCTAATGAGTCAATTAAAAATTCATAACTGGATGAAAGAAAAAAAAAAAAGTTTGGTTCTGTTTCTGAGAAAATGAGAACAATAATTCTCATTTAGCTCTCATGTACCTCTTCTTGCATACTGTCTGCAACAACAAAGCTGGCCTGAAAACCCACAACCTGTAGCTGAGAGCTAAAATGACAGAGGAAAAAAAGGGCACACGCTCTGCCCAGCCCTGCAGAGAGGAGCCTGTTTCCTGAGCAGGACTACAGGGTCCAACAGTGCTGAAGTCAGCACTCCTTCACATGAACGGAAGCCAAAGGGGAAGCTCTCTGTAGGTCATCACAGAGGGCACTCTGGAAAATTCAGTTTCAGAGCTTGGTTAAACCACAGAGGATATCTATGCAGATACACACATTCAAAACACAAGTGACCCTAACTCACTTTTGAACTGAATTTTCGGAAATGAATTAAGCTTAACCAAAGCAGGGCCACATATTCTGAGCATGAGCATCCATGAAGGGGCATAATGCGATTTAACTAATCCACTAAAAGTTAACTTTAGGTCAATTTTCTTGAGCATCCCCGACACACATAAGCCCTGAAGCCAATGTCCTCAAAGTACTATTCATGGGTGTCTGCAGAGTCCCAAATCTGACATGCTTTGTACCTGTGGCAAGAGTAGGACAGAGCAAAAGCATACCAACACAGCAAGGCCGGGGCTGGCCACTGAAGCAGCTGCAGAGCTACAGTTAAAACCAGGAGGGCACTGGCTCCCCAGCCCCTAGGCAGAGCAGCGGGGGAGCTTCCCACTGCCCAGCCATCAGACACTCTGGCTGCACTCGCCCGCATCCCCGTCCCGCACTGCACGCCATGCCAGCAGCTAACGCAGGTACTCTCACTTGCTCTAACAGCGCTCCTGTAAGGAACAACACCAGCTCAGGGGCTGGTTTCCACGAGGTGCAGCTCCCTGGCAGAGGAATCCAGTTGCAAACCCTGACTGCCACAATCCCACCCTGCCCCAAGTACTTTTTTTTTTTTTTTAACCAGGTGTTGGTTTTCTATGGGTTTCACTCCCTGAGGTGACTTTACAGTGGCAGCGCTGACTCAGACTTGTTTAAACTAAAGGGAAAACCGCAAACCTGGACACCTGAAGCAAATCACGGAACTACCAAAAAAAAAAAAAAGAGTATTCAGGAGTTTACCTTCTGACTGCTTGTAAACATCAGATTGGAAAGCAGGCACCTAAACTAAGTGCGTGCCTGTACCCATGCTGTGGGTCTTCACCTGAGAGAGCAGCTGGGCTGGCACTTCCAAATGGAAGGAGCCAAGGTGCACGCAGGCAGAAGGCAAGGAGCACAATCCAAAGGACGGCTATTGTGATTCAAATTCACACCTCGGCTCCTTTCACAACATGTTTCCTGTGTCAACACAGCCTGAACCAGCAATACCCTGACCAGCTAGCACGTCTGGAAAATGCCAAAGTGATTTCCAAACCTGAGACCTGCAGGCTCACAAATGTCTCCTAAGGAAAGCAAGCCTGCTGACTGTGGGCTTAAATTTGCTAGAGGGGTGTCTGCTGCAGAGGAGCTCTTTTAGGACTCCTTCAGCCAAAGAGTTTGATGGAAGCAATTTGAACACTTTTAGCCGAGTTAGAGACTTCAAATCCAAGCCCATTTTGAGATACAGAAAACAAGCTGAAGCTTGAAAAGGTCAAATCAACTAGTCAGAGAGGTGCTGTGGAAGTACTCCAGATTTTAAAGAACCTGGTTTCGATTTTTCTAACACAGACAAAAAAAAAAACCCCAAACCAACCCCCTCACATTCATCTAAAGACAGCTCAATTTGGTGTGCTGTTTTCAGGATGCATTCAGCACTGCCCTCTATTAAAAGCCTGAAGATGACCATCCCTCCAATTCCCTCTACGTGCTGCTCGTTATCGCTCCTCTCTTCCCTGCTCCGCTATTTCACCACCTTTGGCACACAGCTCTTTCCTCTGTAGCTCGTGCCATCTGGAGTAGCCTCCCTACCCATCTCTCTCTGTGTAAATCAGTTCCACATCCCTCTTGCTTTCAGCCACGGCTTCACACATTCCTCTCCCTAGTGATGCTGCCTGGTGTCTCTTCTTTACAAGGGCCTTATTACTAAAGAAATCTTACTATCTCCTACATCTCTATACCATGGTTTCCTGCAATTCACACCACCATGCCGCCTGCTCTCTGCTCCTGTTCTCCCTCACTGGTGTTTTTTCTGACAGCTTATGTGGATTACATCGCACATGGGCGGCTCATAGGTTTCTGCCGCACACGGGCTGGAAGATGCCCCATTGCCCCAGCCACAACATCAGCAGGACAGCTTACCCACAAGGTTCATCTTGGCGCTGTAACTCCCAAAGTACCTCTCGTCGGTGTTGGGTGTGTGGCACTCGTACTCCCCGGCGTCCCGGTCCTGCAGCTCAGTGATGTGCAGCAGGACAGCGTCCCCCTGCACCCGCTCCACGTAGATCCCCCGGCTGTGCACGCGCTGGGTGTAGATGGCGTAGGGGAAGGAGGGGTCGATGGTGCTGACGATCTGCACCTCCCGCTCAGGGGCCGAAGGCAGGTAGATGGACCACTGGAAGTTCTGCTCCGCCGGGCCCTGGTAGCCGCTCACCTTGCACCACAGCGTGATGTGGGACCCCTCCGTGCGGTAGAGGGGCCCTTCCTGCACCGCCACTTGCCGCTGGGCCAAGGCCATGCCTGCAGGAGAAGAGGAGTCCAGCGTTACTTCTCGGCAGGCAGCCGCCGTGCCTCCCCCCAGATGTACCCATCCTACCCCTTCAGTGGCTGTGCTCGGCAAGGCAAGCCCTCACATCCCATTTTAAAGCTGGCACATTGGGCTCTGGCACAGCACCCCTGCCCCGCCACATTGCGGCTTTCTTGCCGACTTAAAGGAAGGGTTTTTTTTAAATGTCCCATGAAAAAAGCAGCGTTGAGATAACATAAAACCCTTCTTTGGTAGCGATAAGAATCCAGGCACAAAAAGGTACTGCCCCACACGGCAACAAACCAGAAACTCAAGCTGACAGGGCTTTGTTTTCAGCACTACTCTGATTTTCCAGCCCCATCACCCTGTGATCCCAGGGCTGGAGGGCACTAGGTGGCACGTGGCCGCTCTGCAGCACCCCGGTGCCACTGGTGGGGCTCCCCAGTTCAGCAGCGACTCCCTGCTTTCCTGGCCCAGCCCAACCGAGACCGCCTTCCACCAGGAGAGACACCCATGTGCAAGCCAGCAGGCTACACTCCCTCTCCTTGGGTTTCCAGGCCACCCAAAAGCAACAGCACAAGCACTCGTCCTCCATCAGCAAACTCGCCGCAGGCTTTGGCAGGTACCAAATCCCATTGTTTTTCCCCCCAAACCCTTCTCCAGTCCCTCTGTTATGCCTGTAAAAGCATACAGAGAAGTACCACGTTTCCAGCACTGCCTTTCCAAGTCTATTTGAAAGGAGTATATTTAGCACATAACAAAAACAATTAAAGTTAATGGAGGGAGCGGGCATATTACACTAAGACTTACCGCCCCTGGCTGCTGGAAATCGAGACCCAGCACTGTGCATTGTACACACGCAAACTCTCGCGGCACAGAACAAAGACAATCCCGCGGCACGGCGACGGCGATCTGCTGTATTTTTACACAGATTATGGATGGCTGGCCCTTGGGCTCATGGCACATTACCAGCACAGCCCTCCAGGGGCCAGATAAATTACAGCAATCTATCTTGTTTGTTGCTACATCAAAGACTCGAGGTCTGGAGACCACGGTGGGTGTTCATCGGTTATTGAGTTACCAGCAGCATGCGCACATGGCGAGGCCAATCACCCTGACTTCTGCGACTGCTTGCTTGCCATCATAAAACAGCAATAAGATGATTTAAAGGGGGTCCTGCATAATCACATTTGCAAATTTCATCCTCTGTGTGTGCGTGCACATTGGGGTGTGTCCCCCTCAATTTTCAACAACAACGTTCAAGTCCATAGAAGAATTTAACCTTTCAAAAACTGGCAGCTTGCAGGTGGAAGAGGTAGCCTGGCATCTGGGGATTACTGACTCAATCTGGCCCTCTGGACATGGATGTCCAGATACGAAGTTTTTCTCCACAGCCAGCCTGGACCAGAGCCAGAAGAGATGGTTCTTACCAGCTTAAAACAAATTGTGAAAAATAGGTTCAGCACATCCATCGGGCCACACAGCTGAACAGATGGAGTGCAATTCAAACTATTAACTTGGGCTCAGCTCGCTGCTGCTCCAAATTATGTTTCTTTCTACTCTTTATGAAATAATGTGATTTAAGGGGAGGATGGGGAAAGCTAGCACGTTCGAAATGAACAGGGAGAGGAACAACAGAGGCAAACACTCCCCCACTGTTTGCTGTACCAATCTCTTCATCCTGGGGAAAGATACCGCTAGAGACAACTAACACATCTAAGGTGTAGACAGCCTCTTCTCTCACCCTGTAAAGGCCAAAGGACAAAACTAATACTACAGCCTTTGAAGTGAACTGTTTTTAAAGCAGCAGGAAGGGTAAGATCTTTATTGCACACCTAAAGACAGCTCATAATAGAATTTTTTTATGCACATGTAGCCTTGCTACAGCATACAGACACCCTGCATGCAACGACAATTAAAATTGCGCCACGAGGCAAACACAAAGCAGTAAGAATTAAAAGTTGCACACAGAACACTCATTCAGGTATTTCTCAGCTAAGCGTACAACCTTGTTTTGTAGACTTTTAATGCAGTGCTGGTTGTTTGTTTTGTTTTGTTTTTTACAGAGGAATTCTATGAGGAGCTTTCCAACTATCCAGTTGAAAAACATTATTTTATCAGAGACACATATAGGCCCTTCCAAAGCTCGCGGGCAATATCACAACCTTGGGGACTCACAATGCAAATCTCTGCACCCTGATGCACGAAGTCTTTTGGTAGATGTCAAAAATCCACCACCCTCATGGCCAGCACTAATGTGGGCTTCCTTCTTCCCTTGCCAGTGGTTTCTGGGACCTTGCCTGTAACCCTACAACCTGGAGTCATGCTCCAGATTTGGGAGAGATCCACTTTCTACATTCCTCCTCTCCTATCTCCTCTTGCGCTGGACTGCTGCACCTTCCTGATCCAGCCAAAAGCGAGACAGGTCTGAGCTGAAGAGCTCCTTGCTTCCCCTTCTGGCTGCAAGAGCCCAAGCAGCTGAGGGACAGAAGAAGCCGGTGCAGAAAAAGCCCTGCCCAGCTCCAGCATGGAAGGAAGACAACACAGCAGGGGTTTTGCTATAACTTGCAGCACGTTGCAGTTCAGCCTCCCAGAGGTGAGACACAAAGGCTCAGCAGTTGGTAGAACGGGGTGGATCTCCAGAGAGGCAGGGAGCAGCACGTCCACAGTGCTCTTCCCCCTGCCTGGCCAGATGGGCACGAATGCTTTTCAACACTTAAAAAAACCCCAAAACAACCCCACACAGCAGAAGCAAAAATACTTCTCCAATGAATCATTTTAAACTGAGAAAAGGAAGGAGAAAAACAATCAGAGACAGACATCTACCACTACACATTTTCTCCTCAAACAGTTAACTTTGTGCACAGCGAAGGGTGTTTGGCAGTTTTCAAGCTCTGGGAATTGCTGTATCCACGAACATGCAGTATCAAGAAAAGAACTGCATTTCTTAGCGAGCAAGCATTCTGATTAACAAAAATAACGTGCCTGAGATCCCATTTTAAACTCTTATCTTTCCCTCTTGAAGTGAGAGAAGAGCTCACTGGAGGAGGAGTTGTGTGCTCCACACCTCCCCTAGGACGCCCAGGAGACAGTTACCGTGGCATTTGGCTGGTACTTCACTGGCACAGCTGGCTTTTAATTGCAAATCCAATATAATTTACTGACAATGCAAGGGCTGATATGGAGGAGGTAGCGAGCCAAGAGCTACTTTAAAATTAATAAGAAATTATAGGTTTGTGCATCTGTTTTTTTCCAAAAGGCAGCAAATCCTCTGTGATAAGGAGGAAGCATTCCCTGATCCTTATCCCCTACAGATGAGGGCTATTGTTGCTGGCCTTTTGAGTTAAGAGCAAGCCAAACAACAGCCAGGCAGCTCTCAACACTTCCGCTGGCTTACCCATCTCCCAGGCCCCATTTGGGAGATGGGAGGTGTGTGGGGGAAAGAGGAAGAGGCAGCAGCAAGAAGGGATGGTGCAGCCAGGCAATTAGACTCAAGGTCACGCAGCAAGGGGACTGCATGGGACCCAGGCACCAGCAATGCCCGGTGCCTGCACCTCCCCTACGCCAGCCTGCCCAGCAGGCTCCAGGGCCACGGCCAACGTCATGCGAAGCAGCTCTGAAAGGCAAGGGAGAAATGCAATGCCAGAGTGGCCCGGCCATTCACATCTTCCTTGTTGTATCATCACAGCCAGGACTTCAATCCCTCTCTGTTCAATCTACAGGTAAGAAAGGAGCATCAAGCATCCCTGCCAGCCAGGCATCTCACGCAGAAGTGCTGTAGCTCAGCTTCCGAATAAGCTTTGTCTTTGCAAAATCTCCACCCTCAGAGCAACATCAGCTGACTAGGGCAAGATCTGACCGTTCCACAGGGACACACGCAGAGCTCAGATTTTCCAGGCACAACCAGTCATTTCAGGTGCCTGCTTTGAAATACTTTGAAGATGTCTTATTTCAGAAAGTGCCAAACACTTATTCTTTGGGAAGGAGGTGGACCTTCAGGTCCCTTTCAGAAGAACAAGCGTGCAAAATTGTATCCGAGAACATTGATTCAAGGCGTATCACAAGCGACAGGTGAGTGTAATGAAAGAAAGGATGGCTGTGCACACAGAAACTCTGCCATAGCATTGACAGAACCAACAGAATAAATAAAATAAAATAAATAAAAATTAGGGACAGAATGACCAGGAACCTCTTGCACAAAGACTCTCCTCATCTCTGGGAGTGTGGGTTATGCTTGCACCACACCCAAAGCCACCACAGCAAGTTACATCAAGGTATCTTAGATATCAATAATCACTGCCAGTAGACCTTTAATTGAAAAGAGAAACTTGAGCTCCTAGGAGTATTATCATGGGCCTCTAATCATTAGAGAGCAAGTAAAAAAAAGTCCTTATATTTTCTATATCTTCTAGAAGTGGACAGTACTGAACACCAAATGGATTATGTAGCTTGAGGGGATGTTTCTACCCCTGCAGCTTTACAGCAGTTGTCCTTCCCTTAGAAGCTCTAAAGCAACATTTGTCAATAACTGATAATGCTAATCCTAAATTTCCTTTAAAAATTACATTGTGCCTTTGACTACAATTATTAGACAGAAAACATTTCCAAAGAGATCCCTATCCCTCTTCCTCCTCTCCCCATCCCTTGCACAAATTCACATTGCACGTTTGGGTTTTTTTGTTGTTGCTATTCAATTTATAAGTGCTCCTCAAAAGGTGTCAGAGAAGAGCAACAACAATAAATACTAGGGAATGGCTTCTACGTAAGAAATAACAGAGCAGGCAAGGACTCTGGCCTAGAAAAAAGGCGGCTTTAAGAGGATCTAGTAAAGGTCTATACAAGCATGCATGCCGTGAAGAAGATGGTCAAGAATTGACCATTTACCATCTCTTCCAGTTTAAAAACCAAGGGCTGTCAGCCGAAACTGGTCAGATCCAGTTTTATAACAAGGAAGGCAGATCTTGCAGCTGCACATAGCAGACCTATGGACA